TGACTGGAATGCAAAAGTTGGAGACAAAGTAGAAGGATTGGTGGTAGCAAATACCTTCCTTAAGACATACAGACAGTGACTATATACATGGACTTCACCTGAAGGACTGCACAGGAATCAGATTGACTGTACCTGAAGAAAGAATAACAGGGAAAGCTCACTATTGAGCAGACAAAACAAGACAAAACCAGCTGACTGTGGAATAGACTATCAGTTACTCATGTGTAAGTTCAAATTGAAGTTGAAGAAAATCAAGGCAAGTACATAAGAGCCAAAATATGACCTTGAGTCTATCCCACCTGAATTTAAAAGTCATCTTGAGAAGAGGTTTGAGGCATTGAGCACTATAATTGTGAGATGCCATTGAAGATAAGATCCATGAAGAAAGCAAAAGGTCATTACAAAAACAGAGGAAAAAGAAAAGACCAAAATGGATATCAGAAGAGACTCTGAAAATTGCACTAAAGCATGAGAAGCCAAAACGAAGGGAAGGGATGCTGAAGTAAAAAAACTTAAAAGATTTCAAAAGGCAGCTTGACAAGACAGAGCAAAGTACTATAATAGAATGTGCAAAGAGCTAGAATTGTAGAATAAAAAAAAAGGATAACTCAGAATTTCTCAAATTTAAACAAATTTTGCTATGGGTAAAATCATTAATGGAAGATTGAGGGAATACACAGAGTCACTGTACCAAAAAAATGGGTTGACACTGAAAAATTTCAGGAAGTACTATATAATCAAGAGCCGGTGGTGATGAGGGAAGAAGTTCAAGCTGCATTGAAGGCATTAGCAAAAACTGAGGCCCCAGGAATCGATGGAATACCAAATGACGTGTGTCGTATATTTGTTCCCATTCCCAAGAAAAATGGTCCAATAGAGTGGAAATTATTGAACAGTATCATTAGTATCACATACAACCAAAATATTGCTAAAAATCATCCAAAAGTGACTAGAACAAGTACCTTGATAGAGAATTGCCAGAAATTCAAGCTGAGTTAGAAGAGGCCATGGCACCAAGGATATTATTGCTGATGCCAGATGGTTCTTGGCTGAAAGCAGAGAATACCAAAAGGATGTCTATTTGTGTTTCATTGACTCTGCAAAGGCATTTGACTGTGTGGATCACAACAAACTATTGCTAATACTGAGAAGAATGAGAATCCCAGAACACATAATTATGCTTAGATGAGACCTATATCTAGACCAAGAAGCTGTTGTCTGAACAGATCAAGGGAACACAATGCATGGCTTAAAATCAGAAAAGGTGTACATTGGGGCAGAGTATTCTTTGTACCTCCTTTTCTGTCTTTATGCTGAGCAGATCATTAAAGAAGCTGGACTTTATGAAGAAAAATGTGACATCAGGATTGGAGGAAGATTCATCAACAACCTATGTTAAACAGATGAACAACCATGAAAGCAAGGAAGAACTGAGACATTTGCTGCAGAGGATCAAGGACTGCAGCCCTTCAATATGGATTACATATCAACATCAAGAAAACAGAAATTTCCGCTACTGGGTCAGTAAGGAACATCATGATAGGTGGAGCAAAGATTGAAATTGTCAATGATTTAATCTTGCTTGGATCAACAATCAACACCCTTGGTACCAACAGTCAGGAGATCAGGAGAATTATAGCATTGGGAAAGTCTGCTGTCAGGGATCTTTCCAGAGTTGTAAAGAGTAATGATAGCAGTTTAAAGACTAAGGTGTTCCTGATTCAAGACACGGTCTTTCCAGTTCTCTGCTGTGCAACTGAAAGCTGGACAGTGAATAGAATGACAGGAAAAGAATTGATGCCTTTGAACGGTGGTGTTGGAGAAGAGTGTTGACTATCTCATGGACTGCTAAAAGAACAAACAGTTATGTCTTGGAGAAAGTGAAACCAGAGTGCTCCCTGGAGGCAAGGATGGTGAAGTGTCATCTCACGTATTTTGGACATGTTGTTAGGGGAGGCTATTTCTTGGATAGGGACATAATGCTTGGGATGGTGGTGGGTTAAGCAAAGGAAAGGAAGACCTTCAATGAAATGGATTGATAGAATGCCTGCTGCAGTGAGCTCAGATGTGTCAGCAGTGATGAAAATGGCACAAGATAGAACAAGGTTCAGATCTGTTGTTCATAGGGTTGCTAGAAGTTATGACAACAGTCTTCTTCCAAAGTGAATTACTCCTTCAGACAATGGGTTCTAGATGTCTGCAGATTCCAACACCCTGTTTTTCCCCACATTGTGTACGTCACCTGTTGACCATGATTAGCCTCCAATTTGCAAACTAGGAAGAATCTGCTCCATCACTTTCACCCTCTGCCCACAAGTCCAGTTAACTTCTTGTTTGTCTCAATGCTAATTTTTGGGTCTGTTTCTTTCTTATATCCTTCCCATTCTGTCTTCAGTACTAATTTTCTAAGCATGTTTGACCACAGAAGTAGTTTTTCATTAAAAAAAGATAGCTCTACAGTTTGAAAAATAAATTACATTATTTCAGGTGTGAAGATAGAACACTGGAAATTGCCATTTTGCGGCAGCTCAACGATAGCTCTCATGTCCTTCTGTGTATTTTATCAGGGGCTAAGGGACAGTCAGCCAAGACTGTACTGTTGATAGATTTGTGACCATCTGGTGGCTTGCCTTCACACATGGTTAGAGTAACTCTAGAGCCATGGAATTTTAGTTTAGGACTCTATCTTTTATTCTTGACCTCCAGATTTAAATAAAAAAGGGGGCTCAGAGACTTGACAGTAGTCACAACAAATTAGAGAGAAAGCTGGGACTGAAGTTTAAGTCTCTTCTCTCCAATAAAACAGCCTCTCTACTCTCAGTCCCTCCTGTACCCTTTCAGGCTATAGTAACAGTATCCCAGAGCTAAACGGGCTTTTGTTGAGCATTGTAGAGGTGGAAGAGCTGAGAGGTTCAATGATGTGTTGATCAGACTTAGCCCGGAGTGAGAAACCACAGAGAAGAAAAAGATGCCCCAATACCATCTCTTAGGGCTCAGTAACAAAGGTGCCCTGACACGGTCCCTTCAACTTAGAAATCAGAGTTTACAGTCAGAGGATTTCCTAAAAAGGCCTACTCTGCCTGAGCACGAGGATCCCCTTGTGTCCAGTGCGATGGTTAGGGTCACTTGATGATCACTTGGTTGCCATAGAATCACTCCATTTTTTTTTTCTCTGAGGACATAGTCATATTCTTGTGTGACTCATGTTTCATATTCTTTCCTATGAACACAGGATCTGGATCTTCTAGAGTATTTGGAGGAATCACAGGTTTTGTATGGCACCTTGGGGCTTAAGAATTCTGCTCCAGCCCCAGTTTTTGTCCTCCTGAGGTAGAGAATGACCTGAGCTCTGTGTAAATGTGATCTTTTATTTCAATTCTTCAGGCAGAGGTAGCCTTCCTGAGTCCTTGGGCTGGGAGCGAAGGAAAGCCAGTTCTGTGAAACAGAGTAGTCTTTTCAACATCCCAGAACCTGAAGATCTCTGAATAATGTTTTGTCTGGTTCAAAATTGGGAAGGGTATATGCCAGGGATGTGTCCTATCTCCATACCTTTTCAACCTGTATGCAGAGCAGATTATCAGAGAGGCTGGGCTCTATGAGGAGAAGTGTGGCATCAGGATTAGTGGAAGATCTATTAACAGTCTGCGTTATGCAGATGATACAACCCTGCTTGCTGAAACTGAGGAGGACCTGAAATGCTTGCTGCAGAGGGTCAAGGACTGCAGCCTTCAGTATGGACTGAGGCTCAATGTCAAGAAGACAAAGATTCTCACCACTCGGCAGCATCAGGATGGATGGTGAAGAGATTGAGATTGTTCACAGCTTCAGTTTGCTCGGCTCCACGGTCAACACTCTTGGCACCAGCAGCCAGGAAATAAAAAAAAACGTATTGTGATGGGAAAGTCTGCTGTTAGGGACCTCTCTAAAGTACTCAAGAGCAACGGTGTGTCTCTGGAGACTAAGGTGCATTTGATACAGCCATGGTCTTTGCAATCACTTGTTATGCATCAGAGAGTTGGACAATGACCAGGGAGGATAGAAGGAGAATTGATACCTTTGAGCTGTGGTGCTGGAGAAGAGTATTGATTCTATCATGGACTGCCAGGAAAACAAACAGATTAATCCTTGAGAGGGTTAAACCAGGCTACTCCTTGGAAGCAAGGATTCTGGGGCTTTGTCTGACAACTTTGGACATATTTTAAGGAGGGACAGGTCCTTGGAGGGGGACATCATGCTTGGGAGGGTAGAGGGACAGTGTAGGAGGGGAAGACCCTCTATGAGGTGGATTGATTCAGTGACTGAGGTAATCGGGATAGGTGTGTCAGAGACAGTGCATTTGGCACAGGACAGAGCAGGGTTTAGGGCTGTTGTACATAGGGTCGTTATGAGTCGCAAACGTCTCGACAGCACATAACAACAACAACAACGGGCTTTTCATTCAAAATTTGGTGAGAAGGAGGGGGCATGATATGGGAAGTCCAGAGAGGGAGAAAGATAAAAAGGGGGTGTGTGGGTACAGTAAAGGATAAAGCTAGAACAGGACACCTGGAAACAGCAGTAGAAGATACCTGGAGGTGCTGGGTAAGATACAAAAGCAGTGAGATGGGTTCAGCAAGAAAGAGTGAGTGGATTGAAGATCGTTCACTTTATGCCCCACCCTGTCTCTTAGCAGGTAGCTGAGAATCCCATACTGTCAGAGCTGAAAGGGTTTCTTAAGAGGTCTTCTGGTCCCAGTCTCTTATTTTATAAATGAAAGTCCCATGTCCAGAGAGGCAAAAGATGTCCAGAGTCACACATGCAGACCTGTGCACCAGGATTGAGGGAGCTGCCTCTGAGGCCAGGGCTCTCTGGACGGAGCCCTGTTCTCTGTCTGTTCTCATCTGTGTTTTCAGCCTGGATTCAGCTCATCCTTGTCTGGGGAATCGTGACTGGGACCTGCTACATTGCATTTGTGCTGTTCTGATGACTAACTGGAAGTCTCTCTTGTTGCCTTGGTACAGGATATACGGCAGGGACACCATACAAGGTCCCACCAACACAGAGTAATACTGCTCCACCCCCCTACTCCCCATCACCCAACCCATATCAGACGGCCATGTATCCAATCAGAAGTGCCTACCCTCAGCAGAATCTGTATGCCCAGGTAAGTACTGAAGAGGGTACCACCTCTTCTGCAGGCAGAGGACTCACCAAAAGGTGGGGTGGACAGGGTAGGAAATATCAAATAGAGTTCAAAAAAGGGGGAGGAGGGCTCCTGGCTTATGCTTGCTGTCACTGTTATGTCACTAAAGCACTAGATCCCAGTCCTCCCAGCGCCTTACTCCACTGTATCCCTTCGAGGTGCCGCACATGAAACCATCACATTAATAGAAGCCAGAGTAGCAAAGGAGCAAGGGCTCTCAGAGAACATCTAGCTCCACACCTTTGTTGTAACATGTGAAGAAACAGAAACCCAAGCCATGAGTGTGTCTTTCACGGCCACACAAGAGCGATGAGTTCCGTTGGGGTGAGAACCCTGCCTGCCTCCGCATATGGTCTATCTCTTCCTGCTGCTCCACATCTTCCTTCCTTGATAAAGTCTATGAATGAAGTGAGGGGAATAGTCCCTCCAGCTCTGCCACTAGTGCCCTGTGTGACCTTGGGCACGTCCTTCACTCTTTGTGTGCCACAGCGCCCCCACCTGGTCCCCTTGATCTGGAGAATGTGTGTGCTGAGGCAGTGGCTGTGAGATAGGGACTCTGAGTGCCAGCATACACGTGGTATGATGATTCTACATGAAGTTTAAGTGGTAAGGAGAAAGAACATTTTGATTAAAAACAGAATAACTCTGTCATAGACTAGATAAAAAAACTAGGCTTGAAGTAATTTTTTTCCCCACTCAATTATAATAGGCTGCTTTGGACTAAGTGCTCTAACATTGAGGCTCTAAACCCCCAGGCTGGGGCTCTTGGCACTATTTCGTAGAAACATTTGAGAAGCATTAAATTCAGATGATCTTGAGAGCTCTGTCTCCTCCATCCCAGAGATCAGCAGGCTTATGGACTATGGCAGAAGGAGGCAGCCGTGTGACCCAGGCAGTAGAAGGTCCAGTGTCTCTATCATCATGTTTTTACATAACAAGAAATAAAATAGTAAGAGACGTCTTAGGAAATGGTTTCCATTTGGATATATTTTCAATATGTATAAATTCTATCATCCATACCAGTTTGATGATGTGACTGCTGCAGTCCTTCATGTGCGTTTGAGCACCATGCTCTGTCATTCACTAGACATGTTTACAACCTTATTAATGGATTGATTATAGTCTCTGTCTCTAAATTTTAGGTAGCTTATAAAAGCTAAAACCGAAGTTTCAATGGTTAGAGCCCTTATCCCATCATAGCAATTCTGTAAGCAAGGCAGAACTGGATTTTTTTTTTTTTTTTTTTTTTTGCAGAACTGGATTTTAAGCCTTGATTTTCAGACTAAAGCCTGAGTCTAGCTCTGAACTGTCCATATTCGTATAAAGTAGACGTAGAGCCCTAGCTCGAGTGTAGAGCTTATGTTCTTGGTCAAGTTCTTCTCCCAGGTACCTATCTCCTTAGGGTCTAGGAAGAAAAGAGGCTGTCCTTCCCTCTCTATTTCTACCTCTCCAAAAACTTGTGTGACTTTATCTCTTTCTACCAGGGAGCCTACTACACTCAGCCGGTGTACGCTGCCCAGCCTCATGTTATCCACCACACCACAGTCGTTCAGCCAAACAGCATTCCTTCTGCCATCTACCCAGCACCTGTTGCTGCCCCCAGGACTAATGGTGTGGCCATGGGCATGGTAGCAGGGACCACCATGGCGATGTCAGCAGGTGAGAGCATATGCGTCAGTGGCTTTCCTTCTTCTGCAGGTGTCTGTGAGAAGTTCTGGGAGCTCAGAGCAAGGACCCTCTAAATCTGCCGGGAGGTTTAGGGGAAGCTTTCATGGAGAAGGGCATGTTGAGTTAGGTCTGAAAGTATAAAACAAAAGCTTCCCAGAGAGATGAAAGAAGGAAGGGCATTCAAGGCAGGAACCTCGAGTATGCGTGTTCACAGAATGGAAATGGTCTAGGCACTTAAAAATTAGGGGTGTAGACTAGGGAGAGTGGCTCAGAGCTGTTGACAAAGATAAGAGGGTGAGGAGTCTTGAATAGCCTTAGTTAGTAGGGAGTTAGTAGAGAGAGTGGAGCTCTGGTGTTGCAGTGAAGGAGGGAGTTACCCTGCTGACCCAAAGGCTGCACTTCTATGGCTGTTTCCACAAGAGAAAGACAGGCAGTTCCCTTCCATACAGTTTACATTCTTGGAAATCCAGTGGAGAGTCAATTATGAGTTGGTTCCTACTGGTGAGAGAGAGAGATAAAAAGGGGGCTTAAGCAAGGGAGAGATAGGCTTGGTTTAAACATTCTCTCCAGCTGCAAAATGGAGGCAAGAAACAAATGGGCTACTGGAGAGGCTGTCATTTTAGTTTAAGGGAGAGGGAAGCTGGTAGCAGAGAACCCAAACAAAGAAAGCACAGGGGTGATGCTTTTTAGCAGATAGACTCTTAGAGACCTGGCCAGTAATTCAAGTGTGAGATGAGAAAAGGGGAGTCCAGGATGACCACTTCCCCATTTCTGACTTACTGCTACCTTGAGTGGAGAGGCAAGAGGGACCCCAGAGGAAGAGCAGATGTAGGGAAGTCTGGTCACATTGTCCGTAGAGAGTGGCTCTGAAATCCTAAGGCCAAGCTTCTCTGGCCGTTCAGATCCCCCAGCCACTCTGCAGGAGAAAGATTGTCTCTTTCTGTGCAATTGACAGCTTTTTAAACCTGCTGAAGGGTCACCTATGATTTGGAGCTGACTTGATGTCAGTGAGTTAGTTAAACATGTTGACACCCAGGGAGACATAGATTTTGGGCATTCGGATAAAGCGCATAAAAAGGTAAGAGGATGATGAATAGCCTGTAGGGACCCAAGTGTTAAAAAATCAGCTGGCCCATGATTGAAGAAGAGAATCCTGTGGAAGCATGGGCAAGTTCAGACTGTCTTGTGCCTCAGATGTTGTGGTGTAGAAGACCTCTCACTCCTCTCTGGTCAGCCAGCTGTTGCCTGTTTGCTTAGTGTCAGCCTTGCTGGGCTCCAGGAACCAGAGAGGCCCGGTCAGAACACTGCACTTCAGGAACCTCCAGGTTAATGGACACATAAACCAACAATTTGCACCCAGTGTATTTGTAACTATGAGAAGCATTCAAAGAAAAGGCCGCCAAAATTGAATGATCAATTCAGTTTCGGAAAAGATTTCCTTTAGGTCATGAAGCCTGGCAGAGTCAGGAAGGATCGACAGCAGGTGATCAGGCAGGCCAGGGGGTGCCCGGGTACAACTTTTTGGATTTACTGTTCTCTGTTTGGATGCTTAGGTACCCTGCTGACTACACCCCAGCACACTGCGATCGGGGCACACCCTGTCTCCATGCCAGCATACAGGGCCCAAGGAACCCCTGCGTACAGCTATGTACCCCCGCACTGGTAAAGCCTGCAGCCCATCCAAGTGAGTGGGGCCCCGGATGGGAGAGGTAGAAAGGTGAACAAGCATACGAACTTCTTCAGTGCCCCTCCCGTGAGTCTAGGTCACAGTTTTCAGAAGGCAGCAAGCAACAGTTATTAGTTGCTTGTCTGCTCTTAGTTCAGTCATGTTATTGTTAGGTGCCGTTGAGTTGACTGACTCAGCAGAATGAGGCACTGCCCAGTACTCCCCCCACACTATCACTGCTTTGCTAGAACCCACTGTGGCAGCTCCTGTCTGTATCAGCCATCTTACTGAGGGTCTTCCTCTTTTTTGGTAATTCTTTACCAACTATGATGGCCTCCAGCAACTGACCCCTCTTGATGACATGCCCAAAATATATAACATTAGCAGTATTATAATTCCTTAAAATAGCTACCAGTTTAGATACTTTACAGATTACAATCCTGATAGTAGCTCTATGGAAAAAGGACCATTAGCACTTCTACATATAAACACATATTTCAGCATCACTTCACCTATCAAAATGAAACTGCGACTTAGATTCTAATCCTTTTATTCTAAATTCCCTGCTTTACCTTATAGTCTTCAAACTTCTCTTTATTGTAGGCTCCGTTCTTCAAATTAAATCATAATCTAAATCGAACGTTAGTTCTGATTGAAGTAGGGTGGAGAACCTGAAGCTACTCCATACACCAGCTTCTCCACTGCTCTCAGCAGCTCCTGAGACAGTGTCCATGAGCCACAGGGCTCTGGGGATGCCAGTGTGAAATCCTCTGTCCTGCCTCGTGTACCCTGCCCTTCACCTTCTCTGGGACCCTTGACACCGGAGTATTCCACCTTGGTGGAAGCAAGCAGCTTCACTGGAAAGGATCAGGGAGCTCCATGTAGGGGTACTGGCAGGGTGAAGGAGGGTCCCCAAAGGCTTCCTAAAGTGGCAATAAGAATGTCACAGTCACTAATGGCTTTCCCTTTCCCCCCTAGATCTGGAGTCACACATTGTATGCAACTACTCAAGTCTTACATAGGTGCTGGAGCAGTTCCCTAGCAGCACCACCTCTATTTGCAAGAAGAGACAACGGAAGTGCAAGGGTCACTTTATGCATCTTTAGTGGTTTTGGTTTTATTTTTGATTTTTGTAAAAGCTGCTTTTTCTAATCTCCTGCCTCTCCCCAACTGCCCTCGTCTTAGCCAGCCCTTCCACAACTCCCTCCTACCTTGCCAGCCACACGCCCTCTGCTCCTCTCCCTTTCTCAAGTGCTTGGTTCTCGGGTAGCCCGGTTCAGTGTCAAGCAGCTAGTGGGGTTTATTGCAATGGTTCAGCTGAAGGCTTACTTTGACTTAGAGAGTGGGAACAGATGTGATTCACAGATTAAGGGTAAGAACTCAGAGCTGCCGATGCTGAGCACGCTGCATCTCTAAGGGGTCATTTTCCCCCTTTGGTGGAGGGGGATTTCCTAAGCAAGATTAGTTAAGGGCATTATCATGTCCTGACACAATGAAATATCTCCTGAGAACCATCGCAACAAACCAAGAACAAAACGACCTGATTATGTAAGAGTGTTAATAGCAGCTTGATACACCAGGCTGAGCACCTGGGAAAACATTTCCTTGGGAGAACTTGGGGGTGGGTTGGGAGAGGGAGGTGGGAGGAGAGAGGAAAGAAAGGGAGAAGAGGGTACTTGCCTGCTGGCTTCGTTTGAAAGGTCTTTGGTCAAACTAGGCCTGGACCTTCTGATTTGCACAGTGATGTAAACTGACCTGGCACTTCCTCAAAAGGTGATTTTGACCTCAGACATGCCAAGCAGCTGCAGGGTGGTGGAGCCCCAGCGTCCCAAGACCTTGGAAGGCCAGGTGCCCTGTGTAACCCAGACTTCAGCCTCTGAGCCCTCCTGGACCCACTGGGATGAGGAGCTTCCTCCTGGTTGGAATGGGAATCTGTGGCATGTCTCTTCATTTCCTCAGCCCTTCCCAGTGCCCGGGCTCACCTGCCTGTCTCTGGGGCTGGCAGGCAAGCTAGGTTCTTGGTTACCTTGTGCCATTCGTGGCCAAAGTCAAGGGACCATACTTCAGGTGGTTGCTGGCGGCTCTGAAGGTCATTATAGTGAAGGAAAAGCAATAGCAATAAACATTTCATAGACTCATGGAACTGACGGGACCTTAGCAATCATCTCATCCATTCCCCTATTTGACAGGTGAGGGAACTTAGGCCCAGACAAGAGGAAAGGACTTACCTAGACCTTGAAGTAAATTAGCATTAAATGCAGCCTTCCCACTTAGGGGTCTGTTGCCTACAGAAACATACCTAGGGATTAGATTGGCTTGGTTTTAAAAAAATTAAGTCAACAGTGCCCACACCTGGCAGACTGTGGAACAGTCTCTGGGCTTTTGTTTCGGCTCTTTTCCTTCATGGACTCCAAAGCAGAGGTTGAAGACTGGGCAGAGGCTGCATGGGGGCAGATGACAGGAACAGGAAATGCAGATGAAGAAATAGCCTTGGAAATTCTGTGAAGACTTCTGCACCTTTCATCCTATACCTGACTCCAGCTCTAGGAGAGGGAACGAGTGGGCTGGCGAAAAAGGAGAGGCCATGGTTTTAGGAACCTGCCTCTCATCCTGAGAGGAGGATGAGAATGAGGCCCAAAAGACATAGGCTGACGTGGGAGAAGAAGTGCCCGCCAAGGAGACCCCTGCTAGCCTCAGCCAGGAACCCGGACTGCCCAGCCCTGCTTTCCTGCACTCAGTGCTTGGCTGGGCCAGCAGTTTCTCGGGGGTGGGGCAGGAACCTGGCATTTTACCATACAAAATGTGATCACTGACAACATTTGAGCTCCTGACAATATGTTTTTATTTTAAATTTGTGTAAACTTCAATGTTCTCCTGTGTATCCCTAAATGAAAAATCAGGACATGCCTTTGGGCTTGAAGGATCACAGAAGCTGTCTTGCCCTCAGCAGGAGGGCAGAAGCCCATCAGCATCCTTGGCTCAGAGGCAGGCATTTGGGGTAACCCTCCTGGCCTTCCAGGGTGCGTCAGGACCTGTAAGCCCAGCTGCTCTAAATGGTCTGTTTACCCTGGGATGTTGAAGAGTGTTGGTTTTGAAACAAAATTTTCCAGTATTAGTCTTTTTTCCTTTCTTTCCCCAAATACCTCCTCCCACCTGCTTTGATTTTGTAAGGGTGGGTGAGGGTTATTTTAGATTATATCACACATGTTTGAAAATTGCCAAAATAATAATAATAATAATATAGGTAATAATAATAATAGGAAACCTTTGCATTTGTCAAGTGCTTCATAAATTTCAGAGCACTTAACCTTTTAATTTACTGGACCTGAGAGAAAGAGCAAAGTTATTCTACCCATTAGACAAATGAGGAAACTCAGGTTCTAGAAGAAAAAGGAACTTGCTGGAAGCAAACAAAATGTTGTTATCCTGGCAGCATCCTGGACACTGCTGCCGCTGTGGAGTGAGGGCTTGGGCAAAACCACAGAGGGGAAGAAGGCGAGACCCAGGGATGGGATGGTCCCTTTGCTCTTTCTATGAGTTAGTAAAAAGGTAATATCCTGTACCTCACAGCTCACCGAGCAATTTCACATATGTCTTGTTTAATCCTTCCAACAACCATGTGAAGTAGAAATTAGGCCTCGCATTTGACCCATGAGGCAGTGGGCTCAGAAAGGTAAAATGACTTGCTAATTGTTTCCCCCTACTCTGTGTTCTGCGCCCTGTCCTCTAGTGTGTAATCCAGGTCAGAGAGCAGCCCCAGGACAGAAAGAAAGGCACTGAGTGAAGTGCTGTGGTCCACAGGGGCCCAAGCCTAGCTCTCCCTTTCTGTTGTGCACACAGAGATCACTTGGTCTCACTCTCTTGCCTTGACCGAGATCCACAAGCCTGGCCAAGCTTGCGGAGTCACTGCAGAGGAACTGAGCCCCAGAGAATACTCGTGTGCATCTATTGGGAGGTACCCTAGGTGTCCAAAGATTCTGCATATCTCAGTGGTCGGGCTGACAGAAGGTCAGAGCTGGAAGGGCCCTCTCTGTAGAGAGGCACGAGCAAGCTGAATGGGCATGTCTATAGGACAGTCAGCTGTAGGACTGGACCAGCCTGCAATCCCCATCTCCACCCCACTCCACTGTTTCTTATGTGCCGCAAGCAAGTCACCAGGGCTGAGGAAGAGAGTAGTTTCCATTAGCAAACCTTCCTTATTCCTTCTTCTCACCAGCCTGGAGCCAGTGAAGTGTGAGTGAAGCTAGACTGTCTGTAGATGGTAAAATCCTGAAATAGTCTCTTGCTGCACTGAGGAGGAAGTGTTTCATTTCTTCCCCATGAGACAGGATAGTTGCTGCTCTTTTGCTCATTCTTGGCAGTGATTCCCTTTCTAGTCATTTCATGTTGTATTCAACAAGGACACTCCCCCCCACATCTGTCCCAGACTTTCTTTGTGTACAAAGTACTTTGACAATGATTGCCAAAACCCGCATTATTTTAGATGAAAAAAAATTTAAGGATTATTGGGTTTAGGAGATTAACGAAAACTCATTTGACTTGTAAAAGAAAGAGCCAAGATTTGAACTTTTCCATCTTCTGCTCTTTCTCCTGGCACCTTCTGGGTATCCAAGTGGCAGGCATGAGGAAGGGATAGGCAGCTTGTCTGCCTCAGAGTTAGAGGAAGGCTCAGCAGAACCCTGATTTTTATGAGCCTATGCCTTAAGCTAGAGGCCTGTGGGGAGCCCCGGGGGCATATGCAAGTGGCAGCACTGGGAGGATGAAAACTGGCAACAAAAGGCCTAATTGAACAAAACACTTTGGGGTCATGATGCCAAGGACTGAAGATAGATTCATTGGTAGCACAAGACATCTTTCCTATTCAAAGAATTGGTCTCGGGGATGCCTGTTCACCCTTTTTTTTCTGACCTCAGAGAGCCTGGCTACTATGCAGTTCAGTAGACAAGGGGACCTGGCATGGCCCTGAATGGCCAGCTAGAAGTCCTTGGGCTTGTTCTTCCCATGAGTAAGAGCCAGGACTTGGACATGGTGTGAGAAGATGCTTCAAGCATCCCTTCCCAACTCTCCTCTAGACTTACCCAAAATTGTTCCAAGTTGAAGATATTCCACTCGCAGAGGTCTTCTGGCACTTCTGTGGAGCAGCTTGCTTTTGTTCCAGGGGCCTTCAGAAACCAGTTACACCGAACACCATAAAAGTAGGGCAGGCCCCTGGGACATCAAGGTTTGATGTTCTCATTGTGCAGACGTGAGTCAGGATCCCAGCAAGACACTGGTTGAGCCGGGACCGGGGCCCAGCATATCACATTCCTTAAACTGTGTTCTGTGACAACAGAGGGAAGGCCTACAGGGGACTGGTTTCACTCTGGGCCTTGTGGTCTTAATCCTGGCTGCGTGACTCTTTAGATGTCATCACAGCACTTAAGCTGCTCAGTTGAGAAAACGTATTTGGGAGCTCTGCATACAGTATCCGTGTAGGGTGTAAGCCTGGTGAGTGAAGGGCAGATCGTGAGTGGACAAGGGAGAAGCCAGCTACTGTATGCCACTCCAGGGAAGCCTAGGCTTGACGCCCCTTCAACAGTAAGGTACAGAGGAAGGAAACATCACACACACACCTGAACACCCCCCCCCATTTACTGATCAGATTCCACACCTGAGCCTCTGAGAGTTCTGGCTTCTTGGGTGTCCCCCATTGGCATCTGGATTTATCCTTGTCCCTTTCATGTCCCCATCTCCTGCAAAACTGCTTGTTTTGGGAATTAAACATTACATGATTCCAGAGTCCAGTTTTAAAAATTCCTATCAGGCTACCTTCAGCATTCCTTGAGCCAGACTTCAGATCCTTTCCTTCAGTCTCTGTGGTAGGAATTTTCTATTTTGCATGCTACTGAGTCCAACTCAGAGCCCAGGTGAGGAGCCCAGAGTTGGGTTGGGAGCTACAACACTCACTTCCCTATGGCCGTGCTCACAGTCCCTAGGTATTCTTGCTGGAGCACTGAGGCCCTGTACCATTTGAGCCCCTGGTAGGGGGTATTTTCCTTCTTAAAAAGAACTGGTAGCAACAGCCTTCTGGAGACATTCCAGGCATCACTTGGGTAAAATTAGCTTTAGGTCTGGCTCCAGCAAGGTTCCAGTTAGTCTCAACTAGAGTCAGTCAAAGAATAGAACTGGCTCAGAGGCCTCCCTCCTTTGGGGCAGCCAGATTTTCTGGATTTATGGTCTGACTTAACTTCCTTATTAAAGAGCAAAGACCAGGCCTCTAGCAAGATGGAGCTGTCTGTGATGACGTTTAAAGGTCTGAGGGCCCGTCCCCACCTCCTGACTTCAAGGCTTCTGCATCCCTCTTTCATATCACATGACACAAACACCTGTTCTCATGGCATGTGACATCCATGTGAGAGCAATGTATATGATTTTGTATTTTTTAATTCATTTTAATCTACAGGTTGAAGTCTAATTTTTAAATTTTATTGGAACTCACATTTTAAAAAAATAAAAGCGTTTAAAATAATAATAATAAATTTTTGACCGGTGTCTTCCACGTAGTTTGATCAAAAAACTTATAGGTGTTTTAAAAAACAGACTGGAGTGTAAAGATTGGAAAGCCTCATGGCCTCACTTGTGTGTATGAAGTGTAAATCTGGTTTTGTTGTTTTGGATTATTTTAGGTTTTCTATTTTGTTTTGAAGATCAGATAGTGATCACTCTGAAAGATTGAAGCCAAGAATTTGTAATTAAGATATTTACTGTAAACTGTAGAACATTCAATAACTATTAAAGTTTCCCCCCAAAAAAAAAAAAAAAGACACAGGTGGTAATATTTCTTTTTTTAGTTCCATATGGAA